AACTGCCTAACTAGGGAAACCCAAACTTCAGAACCATCTGAAAAAGTATTAGAATAAATAAGAGAATTCCATGAAGTGGCCAGTTTACCAAAGCGACACAAATACAGCAACATCCTTCCTATATTAGAACAATAGTCAGTTACGTAAAGAAACAGAACTTGCCCCCAAAAGCAACAGTAAATCCATTAACACATTTGGAAATACAATTAATAAGAAAGGTGTATTACCTATATAAAGAAAACTATACTATGCTTCTGAGCAATGTAAGACCCCACAAAATGACATAACTTGTATTCATAGGATAAGACCACTCAGGAAGCCACAAAACTGTTAAAATGTCAAATTCTCTCTTAAATGATTTATAAAGTTCAACACAATACCAATCATAAGATTATTTTGTTTGTTTTTAAGAATTTGGAAAACAGTCTTAAAATTTATCTGAAACAAGTGTTTCCCAACCCTAGCTGCCATGAAAATCATCTGAGAAGCTATAAACTGCAGTAATTCTCATGGTCTCCCCAGATATTCTAACTGAATCGGTCTGCAGTGGGGCTCAAACATTACATTTTTTTTAAAACTCCCCAGGTACCTGTGATGTGATGTGCAGACAGGGCTGAAAACCACACACCTGAAGGGGCACCTTATGAGAATGGCACAGAAAAGAGTATATTGTTTAAAGAGAATGAAGTGCAACGAGCTCCATCACATACTAAAATTTGTTATGTGGCAAGGATAAGAAGTTTTTGGCACAGGATAAGCAAAGATCAATGGAACAAAACCAAGAATACAGCATCAGACCCAAACCCTGTGTATTTGAAAACTGAATAAAGTACAACCAAAATAGCTTGTTTACATCACTGGGTGAAAAAAGCTGGATTAGCAACATCTGAATAAATGGTGCTGCGATTACTATAACTAAGAAAAAATAGGCAGCTAGACCTCTAAATCCCACTCAGGCCAAAATAAATTCTCAGTTAAAAATCAAAGGTATAAGGGGAAAAATATAGGAGAATATTTCATAATTCTGGAATAGAGAAAGCATTTCTAAACATGACATAAAACCCAAAAGTTATAAAGGAAAAAAAGTTGTAACTGTTTTTAATAAAAACTGAAAACATTCACTGGTAAAAACACAGAACTATGGTATTATAAACCTACATGGCAACAGTCCTGGTAAAACAGAGTTTAGCAAATAAAAAAGGCGGGGGACTTACATTTAAAAGGCTTTACCTTTTAATATACAAAGGATGTTTTAAGAAATACAAACCAACAAGAAAAAATGGGACACAACGCAACAGAAAAACTGACAGAGAATATGAAATATTAGTAACAAACAGCAAAATACAAATGCCCATGAACATATGAAAAAACATTTTGCCTCAAAGACAATTTGCCTAAGAGATTGGCAAATCAGTAAAAAATGATACCAATGTTGAAGAGAATTTGAGACGGGACTCACTCACTGTTGATGAGGTGTAATTTACGTGTTTTGGGGGAGCATATTTGTCAATAATCTATGCTTATCAAGCATAGATTTTTAATAAAAATGTCAATATCCTTTAATCTAGAAATTTTACTTCCAAGAATTTATCCAGCAGATATAGTCACCCAGCTGTACAAAGATGTATATACAAATCAAAATTGTTAATAGCAACAGAACACTGGAAACTACCTAAGCATAAAGTCATTAGGGCACTAGTCCTGTAAATGAAGATAGACCCAACTCAGGGACTACTACTGCACAGACATAGGAAGAAGGGCTGAGATCCAACAGATAACATGGGCCAACTCACGCTGGCAGGTGGTGGGAAGAAGGTGCATGCAGACATACACACACACACACACACACACACACACACACACACGGAGGTCATACTACCCTACTTTTCATATTTAGGGCAGCTATTGACACACATGCCCACCAAAGACCTCTACGCCTCTATGCACAGACCATCTCTGGCAGGATAGGTAAGAAACAGTAGCCACCTTTGATGAGAGAATTTGGGAGAACCAAACATCAAGGATTGAAGGAGATGACCTTTTCAGTTCTTAATGTTTTTTTTTTTTTAATTTTTGGCTGTTTGTTGTTAAACAATATGATGAATACTTTCTAAAACACAGAACTTCTAAGAATCTCTGACCCACTGACCTCACTTTTCAGAATCTACCCCAAGACGCATGATGTCCCTACACAAGGATATACTGACTGCAGCACTGTTTGTACCAATGAAAAATCAGAAACAATCCAAATTAGAAAAGTGATAAATTAGGGTGCTTTAGATAATGGAGTATTTTGCTATCAGGAGGAAAAAAAGAAGAATCAGTGTGCAATGACATGGAAAGGCATCTGGGACATATGGCTGCATTGTAAAACAGTAAGGTGCTTATTACCAGTTTGGTTCCAGTTCATATTAAAAAAGGGTGTGTATGAATAATAGACTGCATAGAAGTGGCTGTCTGTAAGGAGTGACGAGCTGCTCTTTGAATAATTTTACAGGAAATCTACATTTCCTTTATAGTGATAATTTTGAAACAAAATTACCTTAAAAAAATTTTTCCCCCGTGTCCATTTTAAAGTCTTATTTGGCTTTGAATGAACTTGTCTCTTGCTCTTACCACTATCAGTTCTTTTGTCCCACCCAGGGGCGATTCCAAAAATTCAGTCCCTGCTCCTCCTCCATCGGCCTCTCTGGGATGCCTACAGGGAGCAGAGACGGCTGCCCCCACAACGCTAACGTGGCTTACTTTCCTCATAATGAACACTTACAAAGTGTTGTTTGAAAGAAAGGTCACTCTGAAGAAACGAATGAAAACCTGGGTGGCCAGAGAACGTGAGGTGATAGAGATACAATCAACAAAGTCCAGACTGCAGGAAACCCCCCAGGAACAAAAAACAAAAGACACGCAAAACAATGAGATTCTTAAACAGATAAATTTTAAGGATGCTAGAGAGTAATAGATTCTTAAGAGCCATATCAACTGAATAAAATATGGGTTATTCGGGTTTTGGGAAAAAAAAGTCTGTAAAAAACAAATTATGACACATGAGGTCACTGGAAACTTGAATATTTAAGTGGACATTTGATGACATGAAGAAATCATTCAGTTACACCTGAGAATGGTACTGTGTTAAGGTATAACGGTCTAACTTTTAGGGATACATACTATCAATGGCTCTCCAAATTTGGTCAAGGGACCCACACCCTTTCTGGGGGTGGGGAGTGGAGAGTGTATCACAACGTCAAAACGGTTTTCATAAAATAGTAAGACTGTCTTTTTTACTCTCATTCTCTCACAAGAACACAGAAAGGTTTTCCAAAGGCTCTGTGAGGTGTAATATCATTGTGCTTAATGGTTAATGGAATGTGTGCTTGTGTCTTAAAGTTCTAACTTTAGTATCTCATGTGGCAAATGTTCATGGATATGATCCATATTTTTAAAATATCCCTGTGGGGCCCTCAGTAATTTTTAAGATTATTCAGGAGTCTTAAGGCCAAAAAGTTTGTGAACCCTTGCATTATTATACTATTATGCTTACTTTTGGATATGAACTAAATTCTCTAAAATATAAAGTTTTTTGTAACTGGATAGCATGGAGTGAAGTGATGTGTGAATTAGGAAGGAATAAATGTCAATCTATCCATGAAACTTAAACCCACAGAAATCTCTTCTCAACCCACCTCTAAAAGGTACACGCACACACAGACCCCTCTCCAAATGCCAGGGACAACTACAATTTAAGTTCACATTCCCTTTTAATTAATAACACTTCAAAAGAGAAAAATGCAATTTTAATGTATGGAATTACTGCACCTTTATTTCTTAAGTTAAAAGAAAAAAATCCTCTCCTTACCTAAGCCAGTCACAGGGCTTCGTATCCATCACCTAATACTTGAATCAACCTCATGGGGAAATGGTGCCCTCCTCTTACCCTTCCCTTACTTAAGACTAATCAAATCCAAAGAACAGCCCAGACTGTTTTACTCTTCTGGAATTTGCTGTATGAAATACTGCCTGAAATTGGTGTGCTGGGGCTGATGCTGAGAAGCCTCAGGGTCAGAGTTCCTGCGGCGCCTACCGGGCCAGGGAATCAGCCTGGGCTCCTCCTCCCTTGTCAGCTCATCTTTCTCTGTCGCCTCCTATCCATCTTGGCATCCGCCTTCCCTATTCTCCAGTTCAGTTCCTACTCCACACCAGACGCATAGCTGGTGGCTGCAAACGCCAGCCAAGGCCTTTCCCTAGAGCACAGTCCTCAACCCCGCACAGGCCTCCCACGAGCCTGGAGTCTTCATAAAGCCCCCAGTGCTGGGTCCCATCTCCAGTTTCTGGGTCAGCAGCTCGAAGCTTCTAACAAGCTCTTTACTTCAGCTGATGCTGCTGGCTCAGGGACCTCACTCTGAGAAGCACTGCTTTGGAGTTTTCCTTGGGACCTGAGGGTCTGTACGGTTCCCTGGCTCTGCCACCTCTTCCCTGTTAACCATGGCAGGTAGCCAACCAACTCAGAACACAGCTTCTTCGTTGGTAAAACAGAGACCGTGACAACAGACACTTCAGCAGGTGGTTGTAAAAAGGAAAGTGCATACAGAGTAAGACCTTAAAAAGTGGGGAAAGAGGAGTTGAAGCAGCCTTTCCCAGATTCACTGATGCAACAAAAAGCCAATTCCCAGCAGAAGCTGCCTCTTTCAACCATGTGGTCCTATTGTCTTATTTCTACACTTTTTCTTCAGAGGTTGAAAACTGGCAATCAGTTCAAATGCATTGCCTGGGCTTTCAACTCTCTGCTGTGGAAGCTATTCTACTGCCAACTTCTTTAAGAACTCTCATGTTAAAGACACGGGGCAGAGATCTTTATCCTAGAAAGATGAGCTCCAAGATACCAAAGCCTGAGGGGCAGGAGGAAAGCCTGAAGGACAGGAACATGCCACATCGTCCCACTTCATGCTGCTTGGAGGGAGAAGCCCCCGGTTAGTAGGAGGCATTCACACCTTCAGTTCACTTACCTTTGTCATGCCTCCCGCCTGTGCCGTGTTCAGTCCGGCGTGACTGGCCATCTGCGGCGAAACCTGCGTTAACGTCTCGGCCAGCACGCTGCTCGTGGTCCCCTGCATGGCTGGAGCAGGGTACGGCATTCCAGCTCCCCTTCCTCTGCCAGCAGCCCCCAGAGATCCATTCATGACTTGCGCCTGCCCTTGCGGGGCCTGGTTCATTAAACTGTGGCCAGAGTTACTATTGAGGAGGCCTGGGTGGGTCTGGTTAAAGTTAGCATTCATGCAGATCCCAGGTCCTGTCTGCGACGTGGCAGGGCTGCTCGTTACCAGCCCCACTTGCTTTTGTGCTTGCTGATTCAGTGGTTGGGAAGCAGGGGGAGTGGGCCCAGAGGTGCTGGCTGCCTGCTTGGGCAGGCTAGGGGCTGACGTATCTCCCTGGTTCAGAGGGCTCTTGCCCATGGCACCCAGGCTGGCCATGTTTGCACTGTTCGGCTGCCCCTGAGCCTGGCTGCCGAGGCCCTGCTGCACGGGGCTGCCAGCACTCACATTTCCTATTCCTGGGTTAATACTAGAGCCACTGCCTCCGCGCAGAAGCTCCGACAGTTGTTTATGTTTGGAAGCAGCATCTGGAACAAGGTTCCCACTGTTTAAAAGGCCTAATTCTCCTCCATTGGGGATCAGCTCATCAGGAAGATCATTTTCCAAGTCAAACAATGATCCAAAATCTAGAAATTAAACAGAAATGGAAATGAAAAACTAAGCAACCATAATAGCTCTCCAATTGTCATATGTTACTACGATCTTAGCCTAAAGGGGCGTGTAGCAAGGGACACTAGCATGTCTCAGGAGTAATGCCAAAATGACTTGAAAGTTCAATTTGGGAAAATAAAACAAGGAAGAATATTTTCCAAATTCTGAAGAAGGTAAGTTAAACAGAGATGAGAGGAAGACAAAGCCTATTAGATTTTATCATATATTCTAAGACAATAATTAAATAGTGTGGTCTGAGGACAAACACAGACATACAAATTAAAGGAAAACAATGTAAAATTTAAAAATTCACTGAATTATAATGTTAAAATGCTTTTAAGAATGTAAAAAATAATTGGACATCAGTGGAGAGGAGGCAAGGGAAGGAAATTAAAGTCCAATCTTAACTGATTATGTACTTAAAAGGTAAATTATCAAGAAAACCAGCCTAAACAGAAAATGAGATTTCTCAAAGTGCTTAAGTTGCAGAAAGTAAGAAGACATATACAGAAACTAAAAACAGTTAAAAGTAAAAGGAAACAGAAGCTTCAAAAATACTTCTCTCGAACAACCTAAGACAGGCACAGTTGCAGGGGGGCCATCAGGTGAGAAATTGGGTCTCAACAGTGGTGAAGCTTAGAACCTCAACCCCCCCCCGTTTTGAGAGAAATCTTCTGCATCCGTGGATGTCTTGCTGCCCTCGTCTAGCCTGGATTAATACTTAGTCCATAGGCACACACCTGATCATCTGATCATCTAGATTTGCCCTCTTACAGCACTAAACTATGTTTTCTACCTTTATCTTGCATCTACCTACCACTTCAGCATTTTATTAAAAATAAAAATAATAATAATAATAGGAGAAATGTGGGATCAACATATAAATCAAGTACAAAAATCAAACGAATATTCATATTTGACCTGATTGTTTATAGGTCATAATGCATGATCAAAACCGAAAGTTTCTGTGATGAATGCCCTTGTACTGTTCACCATGTAAGAATTTATTCACTNATGATTGTGCATTGAGCATTGACTCCCCTATACAGAATTTTATTGTTGTTAACAACCATTTGATCAATAAATATGAGAGATGCCCTCTCAAAAAAAAAAAAAAGTACTTCTCTCATTTGAAAGGGGTTAACATCAATCAGACAGACAGATGAGAAGCACATGGAACCCCAACAGACACAAGCAAGTAAGGATCACAACAGAAGACAAAACAGTGAACAAAGCAGGTCAACCTTCCTGGTAATCAAACATTTTTTCTGGTCTTAAAGTGCCATTCCCTAACACGTGGCCTATGTATGTCACCTGCACGGACTACGCAGTCTGCAACCCATGACAACCTGGCCATATGGGCATGTGCACAAGGATCTGCAGAAATACACTGACGGCAGTATTCTCTGTAATATCAAACCAAGTGCAGCCACCACCACCACCCCCGAGGCAGCTGAGCCTAGTAGGTATAGACTAGGTTTACACTAGTTGTTTACTAAACTAGTGACGACTAGACCCAAAATGCCTGCAACTGAACCAGGCTGTGCCTCTAGCTCTCCGCTTACTAGCTGTGTGACTTTGGGTAGTATTTAGACTTCCTGTGCCTCAGTTTCCTCATCTGAAAACTGGTGGTGATCATGGCCACTGTACCTCATAGAGCTGTTTTGAGGACTACATGAATTAACAAATGTAAAGCACTTAAACAAACATCACCTGTGGGTGGCGAGCGTTCAGTAAGTATTCCCTATTGTTAGTACTGGTATCCAAGAGCAGAAGGTCTGATAAATCACTGTGTAGTATTATAAAACATTATACATCTATTAAAATAATCATGAAAACTACCGACATGAAGGAAAAGGTACGTTATGTAAAAACATACAAATGGAAACTGTACGCTGAATGGCACCCAGAGTAACGTCAGAACTAAAGTACGTGCACGTGGGCACTGGCTGGAAAACAACATGACAGAACTAGAGAGCCCTACTGGTAAAGCGGCGGGGCATGAGCACACGTGGCGTTTTGGCTTTTTTTTTTTCTTTTTTAACACAGCTGCTCCCCCTTCCCACCACCAACTTTTAGAAAACTGAAAATGTTTTCTCCACAGTGGCTGACCCTAAAGACTGCTCATCCAACACCCTCAACGGGTGGCTGCTTGGGGGCTCCACTAAGGAAGGGCAACACCCTCCCAGCCACAGCAACGAGTGGGACTGGAGAAGCCAGCCACCACCACCCTCCCCTTGCAGGTGACACAATCCCAGCTAAAGGAACTGAAGGCATCAACCAAGACACGTCTGGAAAAGGTTTTCCTTCCTAACAGTCAGGGCTCCTCAGAAAAAGAGCTCCCCTTTTTGCACTAGTCTTCATTGTGAACTGCAGCAACCATCCTTGGCCAGGAGAAGAGACACCACTCACACACTAAGGACGCTGCAGCAAGAATTACAAACACTTGGGTTTGTGAAGCCCTCCCTGAGCTGAACTGTCCAACCCTGGAGCCTCTCAACCTTCAGACTTCTTGTTATATGAGAAAATACATTTCCTACCATGTAAGCCTTTCCACCTGGAGTTTAATGAAGCTGAAGGCATCCTGGAATCACAATCATTTCTGCAGATGGAGTTCACACTCCTTTGGTGGCACCCTAGGCCATGAGCCCACTTCTCAGCCCTCCTTCCCCCAACACTCCCGACGCACCCCACCTCCCGGCCACGCCACAGTGAGCTGTCGCATGAGTGCCCGTTCCTTCTGCATGTGCTCTCTCTCAGTGTAGAAAATCCCACCCCCGTGCACAGGGACACACACTTTGTTTTTTGCAGAACCTGTGAGAATAAGTTGCACAGTATGATCCTGCCTCCCCCTCCAACTCCTTCACTATGCATCCTAAGAATACCCTTTCACATAAGCACAGTATGTTTATCAAATTCAGGAAATGTAACATTGACACAGTACTTCATATACTGGTTTCTCTAACTCAGATGACCCATAATGCCCTTTCTCACATTTATTTTCCTGGTCTAAGATCCAACTTAGGGGGCTTCTGCACTAGTTGTCACGTCTGTCTTATCCTTTCATCCAGAAAGGTTCCTCAGACTCTATCTTTCCCATATTTTTTAAGACAGGACAGTTATTTTGCAGAATGTCTCTCAATTTGGAGTTGCTTCCTTATGGTTACAGGCCACATAAATACGAGGACACACAGGAGCTGACCACTGGATACAGCGGACAGCTCTGAGGGCACCGCTGAGCAGGGCTGCTGCTGGCCCCCGCCAAGCCTCCATGCCTCCGTGTGCTTCTGTGGGCACCACTCCACGCCTTTTATGCTAGTGTGTTGTCCTCGATCTGGAGGTTCACTATGATCCCCAGACGCAAAGATGACACAGAAATTAAGTATAAATAAAACCACCCTCCAATATATATATATAACCAATATTTTTGTTTGTTGCCTTCCAGCTTCTGTCCACATGCATATTTTTACTCAGTACACTTTAAAAAAATCACTGTTTTTAACACCATGCTCCTTACTCTATGAACACGAGAATGAAACTCATCTAAACCAGAAAGCGGGAGCCATTATGACAGAGATCGGGTTTCCTTCTGATGTGCCAAGGAGGGGATGGCTAGCCAGTAGAAGTACTGTAAACCAGAAGAAGAAAATGAGCTCCAAATATTTTAAATTTAAAGTTTGGAGCCTCCTGGCTCTTCCAAATATTCCAAAGCACTTTTCCTCAGAGAGGGTGGCCAGGCCAACAGCAGGTAAACCTAAAAAGAATAGTTAAACCCAGCAGCGCCAGCCCATCTGGAAAGGGCTGGAAAGGGAAATGGCATCAGAAGTGGGGCACCAGCTCCAAACCTGGCTGAGCCAAGCAGCACCTCCCTGGGCAAACTGCCCCATGCCTGCGCCTTGATTCCCTTAACTCTCAGACATGGACCGTGATATCCCGCTGACGCAAGATGCGAGCCGGCTGAACCCCTTTGTGTCACAGATACTGGTTATTTTATTCTATCTTACACAAAAACTAAAATTTCTTACCTTTAAAAATTCAACCCCATGCTGCCACTCTCAAATTTACCAATTTTCTCTTATGGTTTAGTCTAGTCACACGCACACACCTCTTACAGTCGTAGCAGGCATTATGTCTTGGGCTCATTCTTGTGTTTTATTGGTGTGCAACATTTTGTCCACCGTGACCACTTTTCCTCATCCTGTTTTAGTTCAAACACAGCTTGTAGTCATTTGGGTGCAGGAAGGGTTGGCTAACTATACTTATGTCCTCACCCTACTGGTCACAACCCACATGAGCAGGTACACACCAAATGTGCAAGGTGGGGCTTCTCAGAACAGCAAGACAGGCTGTGCAGGGCTGGCGGGAGGATGCCCGTGCCCGCCATCACTCTTGCTCTCACCGTCACTGTCACATTTCCCTACTCTCTAGTTCAAGAAGTTGACAGAGAGAGTGAAGAAGGAAAGCCAGGATATTGCAACATAACACAGCTATGCTTTCTACACACCTGTGTGTCCCAACACACAGGTTGGGCAATACCAGTCTGCATGACCAGCAGTCCCTAAGATTCAAAGTGCAGTGTCACCACTGGAATCCGAGGAAGTTCTCTTCTCTCCTCCAGTTCACCAGGAGACCCAGGAGAGAGCCATGCTGAGGCTCACAAGATTCATGGGCACCCTACTTTCTAGAACACTGAGCAAGAGACTCCCTGCCACACAGCAAACAGCAAGCACAGCTTGTCACGCTCCCACAGCCAGACAGGAATGTTCTCTCTTTGGGGGCTTCCTGGCACTAACCCAGAGTCTGCCCCATTCATTAAGCTGATCTGAGAGGAAAGAAAGCTACCAGCTCCCCAGTCCCCATCACACTCAGAAGGCAGAGGCACCCACAGCAGCAGCTTAGGAGGGCAAAATCACAACCAAGCTCACCCGCCTCGGGAATGGAAGGTCTTCCCCAAGCATGACCACAGGGGGCAACT